CTCCCCTCCGCCCTATTCCCTTCGAGCAGCAGAGCCCGGATCAACAGTGTCAACAGCGTGACGTGCCTCCTGTGCAGTGGCGGTTTCCCTGCCGCTGTGTGCCAAACTGCGGGCAAAACTTCGGGCCCCCAAATGAAACCCCCCGGTTGAAACTTTGGGTGTATGGAACCTCGGGTGGAAACCTTACGATCAGACCGGTCAGACCTATGGTTGGACCTTCGGGTGAAACTTTTGAGTGAAACATCGGGGGGACGCTTTCGGATGAAAACCGCCGCTTCCGCCACCGCTCGCCTCACAACACAACCCGTATTGATTCACTGTGGCTGCAGTCAGCCTTAAATAAAACCCCTGCCCCGCCTCAGCTTGCCCCGCGCACCCCCTGAACGAACATGTCCCGCCTGCGCTGCGACCGCCCCGACTCCACCGTACCGTAATCCTCATCGAGTGTCTTCATCCCCATCCCCCGTCTCTCTCTCTCTCTCTCTCTCTCTCTCTCTCTCTCTCTCTCTCTGCCTGCACACGTAACCCCCCCCCCTCCAATCTCACGGCTTTTCGTTCGGACGTGACAGGCGAAAGGGAATTGACAGCAGTATGTCGACGGCAGCAGCATCAAAACCGTGTTACGGGCCAACTGAAACTGTAGATTGGTGGGCCATGGCCATACGGTCAGGCAACTACCCGCCAGCCTCACCGCTTGCAGGGCGCGCAAATGGACAGGAGGACGGAAGGCTGGACGGAGACCGACAGCCAGCCTGTTTCCGTGCTTGCATATGGACCAGGCCGGACGAGCGTCGTCCGCTCGCTCTCACACGGTGTCAACCTCGGTTTATGTTTGTTTGACGTTTCCTACCACTAGTAATATAAAACTATCGTCCTTCCAAAGAGTGGTCTTCAAATTACGAAGAATTGGGTTTGAAACGTACAACGGATCTGGAACCACAATATTACAAACGGATTTTCCTTGTATTACGTAGGGCCCCGTGCGTTAACATTATGCACGGGGTAGCTGAGCGAAGTGCATTAAATTTACAGAAGACATAAAAAACAGAACAAAACTACACCGAAGGAGGGTCCGCCTAGTAGGTAGGCAACCGTTCTCTGCTCCTAGATCGAAAGAGATTGGGGGA